TACTTAACAACAACTTGTTATAAACATGTGGTGTCTATATACTTAACTTGTTAAAAACGTGTAGGGCATCTATATACTGGCACTTTACAACAACTCATAACAAACACGTAGAGCATCTATATAACAACAACTTGCTACAAACATGTACTTTCTATATACTTAACAACTCATAAAAAGCATGTAGAGCAGCAATACACTTCAAACAACTCGTTACAAACATGTAGATCATCTATATACTCGTCCCCCGATTATCACGGGGGTTACATTCCAGATATTACTGTGATAGGTGAAAAACCACTAAGTAGGAAGCTATATCAGTGTTTCCCCTAGTTAACTTGCCATGGCGGGGTGCTCATCTCATCCATGATTTTTGTTGATGGGGGGACGGACACTTGTCTGAGCGCAGCTTGTACTAACAGTTTTTGAATGGGGGCAGGGGGCGTTTAGCATGAGGGAAGAGGCAACATGAGTGCTTCCTTTAGCTTTGTAGCTAGAGAACCTATATTTCTCGCTGCTAGCTTAGTGCTATGTCAGTGCCGGGCAGGTGGGGGGGCAAGTTTGGTTTGGTAGGCAGGGTGCTCAATTTGGTTGACAGGGTGGGGCACCCCGCTTGTATAATGGTAGGGGAAACACTGTATATTTATTTTAGTATTTATAAATATGTTAAGGCTTTATAAACCCTTCCCACACTCTTGAAATCTTCTTAACAATGTTCTAAACTCTTAAACCTACCCAATTTTAACAACATGCATATATAAGATAAGATATGATAGAACTTTATTGTTCCTTCAGGAAATTATTGTGCCAGAGTTTTAGTAGAAAGCAACATACACAAGGAATCACACAAAATACAAAAAAATAACAGAGAATATAAAAATAACAACAATTAAGTTCTAAACAGGTGCAGACAGAAACATTAAAGAGTTTATTGTAATACAGGATTAATTTTATTGTCCTATGTGCAGAAAGGGGAGGAGTTGAAAAGTTTGAGGGACTTCCTGTGATGTTCTGTGGAGCACCTCGGTGGTCTCAGTCTACGACTGAAGGTGCAGTGGTAAGAGTCCAGTATGTCATGCAGGGGGTGTGACGTGTTGTTCAGGATCTGGAGCAGGTTCCTCAGCATCCTCTGCTCAGACACCTCTGTCAGAAACTGCAGGTCCACTCCCAGAACTGAACCAGCTCTCTTGATGAGTTTATCGAGTCTGTTGGCATCAGCTTTCTTCACCCTGCTGTCCCAGCACACCACAGCGTAGAAGAAGATGCTGGAGACCACTGAGTGGTAAAACATATGCAGCATGGTCCTGCAGCCGTTAAAGGACCCGAGTCTCCTCAGAAGAAAAAGGCGACTGTGCCCTTTCTTGTAGAGGGCGTTGGTGTTAGCTGTCCAGTCCAGTTAATTGTCTAAATGGACCCCCAGGTACTTGTAGCAGTCCACAGTGTCAACATTCGTACATTTGATGTTGATAGGGTTTGGGGGCAGATCTTCTTCCTGTAGTCCACCTGCAGCTCTTTAGTTTTTCCAACGTTGAGTTGCAGGTGGTTCTGTCCACCACACCTCTGTATTCAGCTTCCTGGTCACCAGTGATGCAGCCCACAATGGCTGGCAGGATTGTGAGTTGTACCTGAATATGTATATGTACAGTATGTATATGTACAGTATGTATATGTATGTATGTATACAGTATGTATGTATATACAGTATGTATATGTACATTACAGTACAGTTAAATTTTTTATGGGTACTCACCAGCTCTGCAGACCAGCAGCTCAGTTCCGGTTTGGCAGACCTACCTTGCAGCATGACGAAGCCCACCGCTCCATCCAGGTTGATGTGCGCATGGCTTATTGAGCTTCAGGATTATTTGCGACTTTTCTGCCAGTTCTGTTAGCTTAATAGATAGATCATTACTTCTTCTGACTTTGAGTTGCAAAACTATCCCTCGATTTAGGCAGAAAGCAGCCGGAAGCATTATAGGCTTCTGGATAGTGTAGTTCTTTTGACTTGCGTTTGCAGGCTTATTGAAAGACAACTACAAAATGACGGCGACTGTCTGAAGTAGAGCTTTGATTTTTTTTTTTGCCCGAGCCCCCAGACCGTGCCGGGTTGGGCTTTTTATGTGGTTTTAGAAGTGGCAGCGTTTTTTTTTTTTTGTTGGGTGTGCACCTGCCCCTGCCGAGGAGGATCTGGCGTGAGGCCATTGCCCTGGATTACCTGTGGATAATTCTTCACCCCGAGTTTGGATCGCGGTAGATTATTATTTGTTCTTACCCAGGACTGCAGGGGAGGCACACTGAAGCCTATGGACATTAGAGCTGTCATTTCTAACCTGAACCCGAAGCACGGCCCAACCGGAATTCGGGCCAGGCCATAATAATGTGCTTAATGGCCGGGCCGGTCTCGGGCTTTGATGCAGTTTTACAAATCATACAGCACAAAGAAAACAAAAAAAGAATACACAATATAAAATTGTGTTAATCTCCTTGTAGAGGAGGAGACAGGTCTGACCCGCCGGTTGAAAGAGGTAAAAAAAAAAAGTCCAGTTAAGCTTCGGATGGATCAGCTGATCACCGGCCACGCGCATCTTCGCACCTGCCATCATCTGCGGTGAAGGAAGTAGTTGCATCTACAAAAGACAAAGCGAGCAGTGCGTTCAATTAAAATAGCCTTGTTTGATATTTTTCTAAATAATTTTGCTCTGAAAATAGTTTTGTTCATCTGTATAATAGCCTCTTAGCATTGATGTTTTAGGCTATTCATTTTGTATGTTAATATCCATTTGGTGAAACAAGAAATCTTATATCTTCCTTTCTTTGAAAAATGTTTTTAAAATATTTTGTCAAACTGATTTGCTGACAAAAGCAGTAAAAGCTTAATTAAAAAAATGTCTTCTTTTTTTCCGGGTTCGGGCCTGTAATTACAGTTAATCTGTCGGTTTCGAGTTGGGCTCAGAAAAAATGATATGGGCTCAGGCCGGGCTTTTTTGGTCCAAATGCAGCTCTGATGCGCATTGAGATCTGGTGAGTTAGTTTCTTTTTATTTTTGCACGCTGACGCCTAGACTGAGTGTGTGTTTCCCCCATCCTCCTTCAAAATGAGCTTTCCTTCAAAGAGGATAGTTGGACTGAAAGTTTGATAAACTTTTTTTATTTATGGGGTTTATGGGATTTCATGTGTTGATATGGAAATGTTGTGGGATGAAGCATTTGTGGGGCATAACTGATGACTTGATTAAATTGTGTTAACTGCCTTAAATGTTATCCTTCGTGGCCAATCAATTAATAGTTTATTTCTGAGAGCTTTTTGCCTGTGCGGGTAAAGTATTTTCTGTTTACTGTATTTGATTATTCCTACCCCTCAACCAATGTAAGTTTTCTGCGCTGTCAGCTCCAGGCACCACCCGTGACTTAATTAGCCTTTTATGTAATTAATCCCCCTTAGTTTTGGGGGCAAGTTGTTACAGATGGACAATCGGATCATCAGCCATGCACGTCCGCTGACTATTAATAACTATAATAACTATAATAACTACAATATTATAATAACTATAATAATCCTCTGACTCGTTAATAAACAAGAAATCTTATATCTTCCTTTCTTTGAAATACATTTTTAAAACTATCATGTCAAAATGATTTGCTTACAAAACAATAAAAGCTTAATCTTTTTTTTTTTTCGGGTTTGGGCCTCTAATTACACTTAATTGGTTGTTTTTGGGTTGGGCTCGGAAAAAAAATTATACGGGTTCGGGCCAGGTCTGAATTATTTTCTTTTTAGGCCCGAATGCAACTCTAGTCCGAAGTATATATATGTTTTGTTAACTTTTTATTCCATATCACCCCAATCACGTGAGTAATATTAAAGTTGACAATCTTGTGTCGTGTACAATCTTACATAGAAAAACCGCAAAAGAGCGAGTCCGCGAAAGTCGAATCACGAAGTAGCAAGGGAATACTGTACTTTACAACAACTCATTACAAACATGTAGTGTCTATATACTTAACAGCTCATTACAAACATGTAGTGTCTATATACTTAACAACTCATTACAAACATGTA